TCCGAAACAGGCTCCAGGCTCTGAGCTGTCAGCACAGAGCCCAGGCGCCCCAATCAGGTCGTTTTCCTAATGCCTTTTTCCATCCTTGGTCTGGCTGGGGTCTCCGGTGCGGCGGGACAGGTTCTGACCCTTCTTTTCACAGTCTATGTGGGCAGAGGTTGGCCTTGCTGTTGCCTGACGCTGTAAGGTAGATAACTCCACGGCCTTACTTGTAGCTAGAAAGATCTAGAGTAGTCTGGGCACCATCAGAACAGCTGGGTCTTACCCGAAGCCTCGTGTCCCCGCGTGGCCGGCCAGACGCGCAGGGAGAGGTAGGTTAACAGTTTGGCTTTGGCCCAAGCAATGTTTTCCCACCCGCCCTCTGCACCCCTTCTTAACTACTGGCTCCAAGTGGCTTTTTTACTTAGTCAAATCTGGTGCTTTAAGGGATCAAAGTTTGTATCCGCAGAGGATTTTCAAAGAATGTGTTGAGTTCTGAAGGCACTCCCTAGAGAGGCATTCCAGAGATGTTTTTGGCCAGGGGCAGCCCAGCCCATGGGTGGTCACTGCGGCCACCTGGCCTGGCCGGGCCTACATCCACAGGTGGCAGTTCTGGAGAACTTTAAAGAGATTGACCACATCGAAGTCTGTGTTAGGACTGTTTTTAAAGATTAACTGGGGGAGCAAACAGCAGACTCAAGAGTTAGGATACCGGTTTGGCGGGGCGCCTGGGTGGCTCTGTCGGTTAACTGTCCAACTCAGGTCATGATCTCACCGTTCGTGGGCTCAAGCCCTGCGATGGGCTCTGTGTTGACAGCTTGGAGCCCGGAGGCTGCTTCAGATTCCGTCTCTCTTTCTCTGCCCCTTACCCACTTGCGCACTCTCTCGTGACAATAATATTAAAAAAGGGAGGGGGTGCCTGGATGGCTCAGTTGGCTAAGTGACTCCTGGTTACTGCTCAGGTCATGATCTCGTGGTTTGTGGGTTCGAGCCCCGCACTGGGCTGTACGCGGAGTGTGGAGCCTGCTTCAGATTCTCTCTCTCTGCCCCTCCCTGCTCGTGCTTTCTCTCTCAAAATAAGGAAATAAAACTTAAAAAAATTTTTTTTTTTTTAAATAGAAGAGAAAAAAGCATTAGGATACTGGTTTGGTGTTTTTAAAAAAACGTGTTTATTCACTCATTTATAGACCACATGGAGTCAGACTCTGCTTAGGGGAAATCATTATGACGACAGCTCAGGTCTCCACTTCCCATTTTTAGATCCGGTTTTTAGACTCAAACCCACTGCTTGGCATGAAGGACCATGACCAATGGCACCACAAACCCCATCAGGGACGTGAATTCTTGGTGCCAGTGCTTGGGAACGGGGACGCACCAGGAGCGGGCTCCTAATGACAGCAGCGCCCCTGGTTCCTCGAGTCTGAGTCGCCCTGGGAAGGTTGACTGTGTCACTGCTATCGACAGCCCTGAGGTTGTCCCCAGGAGAGGTACCCAGCAGCGCCTAGCACTCCGGAAAGAGCTTGACTTGCCACGTGGAGTTATTTACAAAATGACAATGTGCTGTTCTGTTTCTCTCCTTTGATTAAAAAATAAAATTGATCTTAAAAATGAAAGAGAAAATGGGGGCCAAAGTTCAGTTGGGCTGTCTGCCAAGTCGCCTCTTCCTGGTAGTGACACCGCTCAGCCACTCTGTGTGGCCTTCAGCTTCCTACTGGGGGGGGGGGGGGGGGGGGGGGGG